CTGGTTTCACCCCCTCCTCCCTTTTAGCAGTCGGAACCAACATTGTAGCCAGGGCGTTCCTTAATAAAATGCTTGGAGGGCAGAGCTGTTTCAGAGTGGTTTGGAGAATTGTAACTGAACAGTCTCTGATCACTCTCCTTGCAAGTAAATCATACTAAATTCTCTGTGTCTTTCTTTGTACAGGTTACTGAATAAGGTGTTTGGTGTTTAAACCTAACAACCTTTAACTACTTCAGCATACTTTCAGCTAGAAACAGCATTCAACTTTTAAAATGTTTCCGTATCTTTCTGCTATTACTGTTTAACTCGGCTTTCTGCTAACTTCTACAGTTTTGCTTCAGTCAAGCTTCAAACTTTAAAAGAAATTTTAAAGATTTTCAGATTTATAATGGAAGTCTATGGACGGAATTCTTCAACTGTTAGGGTGCGTGCTCTAGCTTTTGAGCTGTTCCGGTTTTTCCGAACAAATTGTTCTCACTCCCTCATTTTTCACTCAATTGAAATAAATTTTACATTAAAACGTAGGTATTTTTTGTCAAGATTCAGGAAATGTAACCCTCATTTGTGTGGCATTTACAGTTTTCCGACAGTTTGGCCCAGACCGCAAAGAAGTCCACACTTCCCCAATAGAAATCCAATGAGAGACTTTCCAAAAATCACAGACAAAATCCAGAAATATACATATTTTCGTATTGCTCCCATTTCTAAACTTTTTTGATGTACAAACATGAAACTTGGTATAGAAAATCTTTAGACCCTTCTAGCACTCACATTGAAGGAATTTTTTCAATATCATTTATGGTTTAGCTGTTTAGCTGACTTGTTTGGGCATAGGAAAACGTTGATTCTGAGAAAAATCCTCATACTCAGAAAAAACTAATTTTTACATCATCACCATGGCCAAATAGTTTTTAGTAGAAACATGAAAGTTGCCACAGTCGAAGCCGAAGGATGGCTGACACCAACAGTGAAAGAATTTTTTGAATACCTTTTACGGTTTTGGCTCAACGCTCGTTTGTTCGGAGGGGAAGTTTTGCTTTTGAGAGCTCTGCTCTACCATGGAGCTGCATGTTATTTAATGAGACCAGCAGGAGTGACAAACCTTTATATTTCTCCTTCTCATTAAGGTTGTGAATGAGCTACAGCCATGAAAGTTACCCAAATCGGAGACAAAGAATAGCTGTCGCGTAGACTGAAAGATTTTTTTAGATAACATTTACGGTTTGTCTTCAGCACTCGTTTGTTCTGAGCTGATTTTCCCATTCAAAAAAGCCTGAGAGGAAGGAAATGAAAGTGAAGCGCTTTTCTCTCTTTCACTGACAGGCTCGTTAAGCGTTGTCAAGGTAACCGAGCTTCAAAGGGATTTTACCTCTGCCACTTTAAACAGCACATATTAATCTAATGGAGGGAGACAACACTGATTTAACATTTGGAAATGGACACAATATGACTACTGGCCATGACCCTTCCCTTTACACGCAACCCTGATAGACTTTCAAAATAAGACTCTGGGGACCCTACAAAATAAAAGCCTCTTCATTAAACTCATATTTTTTGCAATATGTGGCTCAACATTATGACCCAAACTCAACCACTTATTTTTTTAAATTAGACTCTAGGGTGCTTTTCAAAACACACCCCACAGCAAATTTCAAAATAAAAGCCTCCCACTGCCAGTTCATCTACTGCCCTAATAACAGGGGAAAGAGTGATTTAACGATTGGAAATTCATCAAGTATCACTGCTGGGTCTTACCCTTTTCCAGAGATGGGAAGTAACGAAGTACAAATACTTCATTACTGTACTCAAGTAGATTTTTCTGATATTGTTACTTTACTACTTATTTTTATGGCGACTTTTTACTTCTACTCCTTACATTTTTACACAAATATCTGTACTTTCTACTCCTTACATTTTAAAAAATTGGCTCGTTACTTTAGTTTTGAATCATTTCAATGGAGTTACCGTTATTATTTTTCACGTCATCAATACCAAATTCAATGTAATTGGATGGGAATCTACGTTGCATTTGACGCACCACTACAAGATGAATCGACAGATTCGGGGGTATTCATTCACGGCAAATCATTGCAGCTTGGTGGCGGTGGCGTTAGCATAGTAGTATGGACGACGAGATGATTGAAAATGAACACAACGGAGATCTAGTCCTATTGGCAGACATCCATTTAAAATGTAGGCAACGGCATGAAAAAAGTGGTTTCTACTTTTACTTTTATACTTTAAGTAAATTTACAAGCCTGTACTTTGTTACTTTTACTTGAGTAAAGAAGTTTAATCAGTACTTCCACTTTTACCAGAGTATTTTTTAACACAAGTATCTGTACTTTTACTCAAGTACGGAAAGTGAGTACTTTTGCCATCTCTGCCCTTTTCTCAACACACAACCCTGAAAGACTTTCAAAATAAGACTCCAGTGACCCTACAAAATAAAAGCCTCTATGTTATACTTGTGTATTAATTGATGCAAATGGTTCAGCATTATGACCCAAACTCTACCAGCTTGATTCTATTAGACTCTAGGGACCTTTTCAAAACATACCCCAGAGCGAATTTCACATTCAAAGTCTCCCATTTACGCTCTGATACAGCATCTATTCACCCAATAACATGGAAAACTAGTGATTTCACATTTAGAAATGGATTCAATATCACTGCTGGGCATGACCCCTCCCTTGACACACATTCATGATAAACTTTTGAAATAAGACTAATGGGACCCTACAAAATAAAAGCCTCTTCCTTACGCACACTCATTCATTGTGCGGTATGGCTCGTAGCTACCACCCAAAGTCAACCAATTTCTTCAAATTACACTACCAAGGCCTGTTGACCACACACCTCAGTGCACATTTCTTAATAAGGCTCTAAGATTTACACTCTAACAAAGCATCTGCTAACCTCTTAATATGCAGCCTAAGCCTGCCAACGGTGCTTTCATCACCACAGCAGCTCGTAACATGCAGGTTAGTTTTTTTTTGATAAATTCAGTTCCTTATGTGGTAGTAGCTCTCTTTCTATAAGCTTCTCTCTCTGTCCTTCCTCTGCTTCTCATGTTCAGTCTTGCACATAGGTTTGTAGATTTTCAATCCTCAAATGATGACACTGTTTTCTTTATGCTGATCAACCGACACATTTTAAATAATTGTTTTGCCAAGTCTTGACATTTCCACATATGATTTAAAAATTTTGATACTTATTCAATACCATCTTCCTCAACATTTTACTTCCCATCCTTAAGCTACTCATTTTTTCTTCAACCAGATAAGATTCAAGTTTTTCTTTGTAATTTCTTTTCTGATTCAGCTAATTTAATACTTTTCAGCCTATGTTGTGAACTTTGGCTTCATTCTGCTCTCTTTCTGGACAGGAATTAAACTTTTCTGTTTGCTGCTAATTCATAACACGCCTGACATGTTTCTGGAAAGTAGGTAAACCCCCCTTCAAAATTTCTTTAGAACTTTTTCTAGAAACTTGGGTGACATTACATTTAGACCCTTCTAGTGCCAACATTGAAGACATTTTTTGATATCATGTATGGTTTGGCTTTGCAGCTTTTAAGATGAGTCTGTTTCTGCCATTTTACTGCCAAATGATTCTACCCTACAGAATCTTCGGATGATTCAATTGTTTTCTGCAGTTTGAAGCTCCTGATGACTTCCTTTCACATTTTCATATGTTCCTCAGCTAATTTGTGCTTCTTTTCCTTCTCACAGTTTCTTTAGCAAATTTTTCTCTTTTCATTCAGCAAAAAAAGCATTCCCACTTTGCTGTTTCTCCGAAACAGCTTTTTCTAGTTTTAATAGTCAATGCAGCTGAGTTTTCAATATTCCAGCAATGAGGTTGGACTGCTTTGGAAAGTAACCTTTTTATTTTAAATCTTTGGATGTAACGCCTCCCTTAAGAAGTTGGTTTTTTAATGCAGCAAATCCACCAAAGCTACGGCCAGTGGCAGCCAGAGATTGCCTTTTATATCTTACTGATCCTTTGTCGCCGTAACACCTCCTAGCAAGCTGAGTTTGGTCTTGGTTTGAGATGAAAAACTAACAGGCACCTAAACCACTTCAGGATCAACAATGAATCAAAATCTATATTTCCCTAATAAATCATGAGCATCACAAAAAAGATTTCCATGAGGCCCTCACTAATAAATGCAGATTTATATATCAGTGCTGTTGATGTTTTTGATATATCTTTATATTTAATTACAGAGAAGAGTCATAAATGAGTGCTGAGAAAAACTCTAACCAATAAATTGTAACAAGTGGTTCATATAATAACTTAAATAAATGTTCTACATGATGGGATTATTGAAAAGAGGGCCATGGCCCTGCTGCCCCCCTCCTTTTACATCCGGCCCTGTTTCACCATATTTCATCTGAGATAAAAATCACATTGAGTAGCTGGGGACATGTCTAATGCGTTTGCTTTACATTTAGGTGCCATGATGATACTTTTAGCTAATTTAAGGCATTATGAAAATGCTTTATACTGTATAAAAAAAAACATAAATTCATGCATAGGTTTAATTTTTGTCCATAAATCCTGTCCTTCTGAGGCTCTGTGAAGGTAAATCTGTGTTTTGCATGGTCAAATATTGTCTCACAAACCTAAAAAATAATAATGTACCAGTTTAATAAAGGAGATGATATTGGTCAGCTTTATACTTTTTTTTCTAATATATAAAAACTATTGTCTGAGGATGTATTTATTTATGAGCAACTATGCAAATGAATAAACATCTAGAAAAAGTAGACTATGTTCTACTATATATCTATAGTATCAGCATTAATGCCTCTAAGGTTATGTTGGACCAAAAAATGTGTTTCTTTTACTTTCAGACTGTTTTTCATGACATTCTTATAGAAGCACATTTGTTTTGGGTTTTGGAGCAGTTCTCCAGTGGTGAGGTCGTGCTATATGTGACCCCCCCGCCATTTAAAAAGGTTGACTCATAACAGTGTAAAGGCTGCAGAAGTTACCTTCAATGTTTGTCCTCAGCCCGTCCAGATGGATCTCCAGGCGTTGTTCCAGCATCACTGCTTCAGAGGCAGATGAACTATTGGAGGCTTGGATGTCTGGGTTAGAGGTATGATGACATATTATCATTTCTTTCTGTGTGTTTCAATTAATTCGTCATTTTGAGGCTGTTTTTAATTGTTCTAGTCTCCGACAACATAAATGCATATAGTGACCTGTCACACCAATAGCATAGCTGATAACTGAAACCGATTTAGCGCCATGATTTGCGGTGGTGAAAGACTGAAGTGTTAACAGGACATTGGGAGGTGAAGGATCATTTAATAAAGCAGGATGACAGTAAAACAACGATGCTGAGTGTTTTAGCTTTATCAAAAATTATCCAGTTAATACTACTGGATGATCTTAGTAGCTTAAATTAATGTACAGAGGATGTCTATAAAAAAACACCAGTTAGCACAGCTTCACATACCTTAGCTTTCTGTATATATTCTTTTAAGTGCCATCCGTTTGAATGCTTTCTTTAAATTAACAATGACTAATAATTAGGTACCCCTTTTCATCGTTCTGCTAATCTGCTTTATTCTATCTCTAAAGTAGAATGGGAGGCAGATCTTTTAGTTATCAGGCTCCTCTCCTGTGGAACCAACTAGCAGTTTTAGTTTGTAAGGCAGACACCCTGTCTACTTTAAGGCTAGGCTTAAAACTTTCCTTTTTGATAAAGCTTATAGTTAGAGTGGCTCAGGTTATCCTGAGCTATCTCTATAGTTATGCTGCTATAGGCTTAGACTGCTGGAGGACATAGGGACCCCTTTTTCATCATTCTGCTTCATTATATCTCTATTCTCCCACTCTGCAGAATCTATTAGTTCAATCTCTAGCGTTCTGCTCTCTGCTTTTTCTCATAGTAGCTTCATCTGGTCTGTTCCTGTTTGGCTGTGACTCCATCCTGGAGAGAAATACCAGCTGTGCTGCTGCCATCAACACCTTTGTTTCTAGATGTTGGAGCTTGGGCTGTTTTTCCAGTGTAGTCCTGTTTCTTTTGTAGAGCTTTTGCTGGGACTAACTGGATGTTCTCTCTTTCAGAAATTAGAGTATTTGGACAAAATTTGACAACAGTGGTAGCTCCAGGAAATGTTTCCCCAGGGTGTCCAGGCAGATAGCCGCGTGTGCTGGGTTGGATGGGTACATTCCAACACTCAGGAGATGGCCGCTCACATGGAGCCTGGTTCTGGTTCTGCTGGAGGTTTCTTCCTGTTTAAAGAGTTTTCCTTTCCGCTGTCACTGCATGCATGCTTGGTGTGAGGGATTGATGAATATCTACTGTCTCTACCTGCTCATGCAGGAGGAGCGAGTCCTGACTGTATCAACCATTGGATGCAATCAGTCGGTTTCCTAGGAAGAAAATTAGAATCTCATTTTAGGATCTGATTGAAATGATTGTGGGAAGTGACCCGAGGTGCTGTGATTTAGTCACGTTCATGTGACAGACCAACTCAAAGAGGTGAAGTGAAAGGAAATTTGTTTTCTCCTTTTCTCTAAATAATCCAGGGGATCTGACATGGTTTGAGTGGAAAAGACTCCAGTGATGAGTTATGTGATCTAAGAGGTTCTATGGAGAACATCCAGCACCACGAAGGCCGAAGAACGCAGGAGGAAGTTCTGGTTCTGGTTCAAGAATAATTTCCAAATCCATCATGTGAACACGGAGAGAGGGTGGACCACCTGCTGAACTACCAGGACATGGAGGTCCACCTAGACAGACAGGAGGAGGAGAGGACCATGGAGGCTCTGGAGGAGCTGCAGAGAACTACAACCCATCTGGGATAATTTATTTGATAGTCAAGTGTTAATAGACTCAAAACTTCGGCTCTGGATGGGAGAGAAGCAGGAGCAATGGCATCAAAACTCCTGGTTTTTAAACACTAAACAGCAAACTAAGCAGACTCTTACCATACCGATACATGGCAGTGGCAGCATCATGCTGTGGAGTTGCCTTTCTTCATTAGGGAACAGGGAGCTGGTCAGATAGATGGAGCTAAATAAATCCTTTTAGATGTAATTCTCCTTCAGAATAATCTGCAGCATCACTGGTTCAGGGAGGTTCTCCTGCTGGGAGGTGAACCTCAGCTCTTCTGGATGGAGGTAAACCCAGATCCTCACTCTCTAATCCAGGGATCTTTGCTCCAGCAGTCCTCATGTTATTAAAATACATTTAACTGTGTCCCTCATGGTGCCCTGTAGGGGGCAGAGTCAGGGGTCCTTTGGGAAACTTTCCAAACAGGCCACAATCCTCAGTCCATTAGTAAGAAAACCTGGGATCATTTTCCTGCCACTCTGCATTAACTCAGAGAGTTTGTGGCTGCATGTGGAAAGGGTGTGAATATTTTTACAATGTGCTCCTACAGCTTTTAGCTTCAGACTAAAAGTTATATAAAAGTTTTCAGAATTTCAATTAATTGAGGGCTTCTGCAGTAAAGACAAACTGCAGGGAAATATTCTAGGAAAAGCAGAAATCCATCAGCATTCTGGCCTCATTGGTGGAACACTGATGTTAAAAATCCCAGTGAATCTAAACAGGTGATGGAAGCGATAGCAGAGAGTGAGACAGAGGAGGAAATGATCACCATCCTGTAGACCTGACCTGAGATCTGCCCCTTTAGGTCCTCCATCAGAGTCTCAGTGCTGCACATCCTGCTGGCCAGAACTGGAAACAAGAATAATGGATGTTACTGAAACACATCAAAGTTCATTGTGCTGCAGAACAGCTGAGAATCATCTAACTGTGGTGGCATTAAGGTGCGTCTGCAGCTCTCTGGGTGAGATGGTTCTGTGCTTCACTCACTTCTGTCTGATAAACGCTGCAGGAGGCGGCATCCAGAGAAACATGACATCTTCTGGTTCACAAGATCTTTGCAGAATAAACCAGCATAAATGGTTTAAAGCTGCAATCAGGGGGGATTTATTATCATCTAAAAGCAGCGAACTCTGCTCTCCAGAGCAAGTAGATTGGTAACCCCGCCTCCTGCTCTCCTTTATCTTATCTGCTGTCATAATTCATGCAGCTATTATTTCATCCAAATGAAAAATGGAGAACAGATAAGCAGATCATGGCTTGTCTACAGTGAAAAGAAAGACTGGATTATTTACTTTTGCCTTTTTGGAAACACAGGAAGGAGCAATCAGCTAAGTGAGCTTAGTGCTTGGAAAAAATCTTTCATTCCTTTAGAGACAGCATGAAAAGTCAGCTGAGTACAAAACATAGAGAGGAAAACAACAAGAAGAGAGGGACAAAACCTAGAACAAATAATGGATGTCTATTCTATTAACATTTCTCTATCTGTAGAATGGGTCTGATTTACAGTGTTGGGCAAGCTACTTGTCCAGTGTAGTGAGCTAAGCTATCAGCTACTCAACAATAAATTAAGCTTCACTACACCAAAGCTACCACCTAAAGAATTATAGCAAGCTAAGTTACACTAATGTGTTAAAAGTAGCTTAACTACATCAGAAGCTACTTAACGTTGTAGCAACCTAATATCAATTCAAAATGAGTCTGATACACTGGTTAAAATATTTATTAAAGATCAGCCAATGACATAACACAGTGTAAAAATTGCTTTATGATCAGCATAATTAAATAAAAACTAAAGTATTTACTAGTAGACAAACTAGTAAACAATCTGCTGTTATTAGAACCAAATTAAAGGTACTGTGTAGTGTTCTACACATGGAGACATGGCTATGAGTTTACATTCAATGGACATCTCTAGGGAAAACAAAACCCTACAAAAGGCATCTTATTTCTTTAGGGTCTCCCTTAGAGAAAACTTCTTCAGACCTCAATTAAACAGTCGATTCAAGTAACAAATGAAACTGTTTACAAAAAAGGTGAAAAAATAAAGAAGCTAATTAAGTGATACATATATTTATGTCTCACCATATCATTTAATTTCTACCTACATATTTATTCATTGTGTTTTTGGGGGCAATTAATTGAATGCTTATTTATTTATTTATTGAGCATTTATTTATTTATGTATTTATTTTATATATGGTAGATCTGTTCCTCCATAAATAAAAAAATCTTATCTGTGCAAATAAGCCTAAAAACAGATTTATGTAAACATCCTGTCAGGTAAACTAGGGCATGAAAATACAATATAGAAGTTTCACTACTGCTCTCTAATTAGAGTATCTTAGTGGCACATATGGAAGAATTATCCTGCCATAATGCAAGAGCACATCATTTCAATTTGAGAAAAAGAATTTCCTCTTCTTGCACTCAAAACTTATAATGCTCACACTCAAAACATGGGCTCTCTCTCTAATATTTTCTCTCCAATCTTTGTTTCTTCTCTCAGATTTAATGCTTCTTGCACAGATATTTTCTCCTCTCGTTTGCCTCCTTCTCTTCGCGCACAAACCGCGCTCTGCATGAGTCTCAGATACGCTCGCAAACCCGTAGGCTCTGCTTGCAGATTTTTTTTTGCTCTCTAGGATTGCAGTTGGATCGTCGCCTAGCAACCTTTCCAGCCAATAGAACGACAGCCTGGGAAAGGGTGCGCTTGTTTAACCCTACGGAGTGTGCCTGTGCTGCTACGCCACTTATAAGAGCATCAGCTGAAACTGCTATTTACAGTAGTTTTGTGGCTGATTGTTGTTTCAAAATAGAAAACCTGGTTTCATTTCTTAGTTTTGCCCTGGATTTTGTAGCGTTTGTGGACGCTACGTCGCTACTTGATCAAAACAATAACGTCGCTATGGGAAAGTTACTTGATAAATAAAGCAGCGACGCTACGGTCAAGCTACTGGAACATGTAGTTAAACTAATAGCTTCGCTACATGTAGCGCCGCTACTGCCCATCACTGCTGATTTATGTGCTGTCTTCTCAGTTCAGGGGGCCCCCTGCATGTCTTTGCCTAGGGCCCCACATTTCCTAAATCCGCCCCTGGCTGCAATGTCTCTGTTTTTAGAATATAATTCTAACAGATTTACTTTCAATCAGAGGCAATTTTACTTTATACATCTATCGCATAAACACATCAGAGTTTTGATTGAAATGTGGGAAGATGGTGAAAAGGTGATGGAGTTAGAAAAACCCAGTGGAACTATAATAAATGTTAATGAGATGAGGATGATGACCTGCATCCTTCCTCCTGAGCTGCTCCATGACTCTCTCACTCGCCCTCAGTCTGGTCTGCAGGAACGGCAGCTCAGCCGCTACAGCTGTGGAGAGATAATATTTGAACTTTATTGATCTCACACTGGAGAACTTCACTCTGCATTTAACACAGAGCAGTGGGCTGCCAAGTGCAACACTCTAACCACTATGGCAACTCTCCTCCAAAGCTGTTCCTGCCCGGTTTTCGAACCGACAACCGTTCACATGTTAGACTACGTGCACTTTGGGATTTGTTTAAATATAAAGTGCATTACAAGTCCAACGTATTATTATAATTATTATTATTACTTTGTGAACTGGCTCAGCTCTCACAGAAAGCCCCTCTGGTATCTGTGGTCCTCTGTGGTTCAGGTTTTTATGTCTGGACTCACCTAAACTCTTCATCTTCAGGTTCTCCATGGAGCTCTCACTGCTGTTGATTCTAAGCTGAAGCTCCAGTATTTCATCTGCTTGTGCTAAAACAAAAACAAATATGGTAGAAATACCGGAGGCAAATATTCTTCAACAGGATTGAAACACTTTCGGCAATTTTCTCGAAGATTATTGGATCATTCATTTTCTATTCCAATGGTCAGCATCCAGGAACGACAGCACCGGATAAAATGTGCAGGTTTTTTTCAGGAGCCCAGGAAGCACACCCCTTTTGCTGAGCCTCTCCATTAATTTCTACAGCCTAACCTTAACTCTAACGCTAAACTCAATCGGTCATCCTAAACATGACTCTCAATCCAAAGACAGACACTGGACCCCACAGCAGCAGTCAGTCCCCACAACATGCTAATTTACAAAGAATTAAATGAAAAACTAGAACTTGTCTCAGATCCATCCTCAGGATTGTTGCCTTTAGGAACCATGTTTATCACCTTAAGTTATTTTAATGTCAGGCCAAGGTCTTTATGATTAAGAGAAAGCAAACAAACTTTATTTATAACGCAGATCAATAAAAAAACCCAACATCAGTTACCATAGCGATGCAGACGACACCCAGGTCATCTCCACATCACCAGGTGACTATGAACCCATCCCAGCTCTGGATAAATGCAGAGAAGGAAGCTGCATCTGTTCCAGATACTACTGCCTGCGTCCTCACTAGAACTATAGAAAGTAGATCAGACAGCTGCATCTGTTCCAGATACTACTGCCTGCGTCCTCACTAGAACTATAGAAAGTAGATCAGACAGCTGCAGCTGATCCAGATGCTGCTGCCTGCGTCCTCACTAGAACTATAGAAAGTAGATCAGACAGCTGCAGCTGATCCAGATGCTGCTGCCTGCGTCCTCACTAGAACTATAGAAAGTAGATCAGACAGCTGCAGCTGATCCAGATGCTGCTGCCTGCGTCCTCACTAGAACTATAGAAAGTAGATCAGACAGCTGCAGCTGATCCAGATGCTGCTGCCTGCGTCCTCACTAGAACTATAGAAAGTAGATCAGACAGCTGCAGCTGATCCAGATGCTACTGCCTGCGTCCTTACTAGAACTATAGAAAGTAGATCAGACAGCTGTAGCTGATCCAGATGCTGCTGCCTGCGTCCTTACTAGAACTATAGAAAGTAGATCAGACAGCTGTAGCTGATCCAGATGCTGCTGCCTGTGTCCTCACTAGAACTATAGAAAGTAGATCAGACAGCTGCAGCTGATCCAGATGCTGCTGCCTGCATCCTCACTAGAACTATAGAAAGTAGATCAGACAGCTGTAGCTGATCCAGATGCTGCTGCCTGCATCCTCACTAGAACTATAGAAAGTAGATCAGACAGCTGCAGCTGATCCAGATGCTGCTGCCTGCGTCCTCACTAGAACTATAGAAAGTAGATCAGAGCTGCAGCTGATCCAGAAGCTGCTGCCTGCATCCTCACTAGAACTATAGAAAGTAGATCAGAGCTGCAGCTGATCCAGAAGCTGCTGCCTGCATCCTCACTAGAACTATAGAAAGTAGATCAGAGCTGCAGCTGATCCAGAAGCTGCTGCCTGTATCCTTACTAGAACTATAGAAAGTAGATCAGACAGCTGCAGCTGATCCAGATGCTGCTGCTGCATCTTCACTAGAACTATAGAAAGTAGATCAGACAGCTGCAGCTGATCCAGAAGCTGCTGCCTGCATCCTCACTAGAACTATAGAAAGTAGATCAGACAGCTGTAGCTGATCCAGATGCTGCATCCTCACTAGAACTATTGAAAGTAGATCAGACAGCTGTAGCTGATCCAGATGCTGCATCCTCACTAGAACTATAGAAAGTAGATCAGACAGCTGTAGCTGATCCAGATGCTGCTGCTGCATCCTCATTAGAACTATAGAAAGTAGATCAGACAGCTGTAGCTGATCCAGATGCTGCATCCTCACTAGAACTATAGAAAGTAGATCAGACAGCTGTAGCTGATCCAGATGCTGCTGCCTGCATCCTCACTAGAACTATAGAAAGTAGATCAGACAGCTGTAGCTGATCCAGATGCTGCTGCCTGCATCCTCACTAGAACTATAGAAAGTAGATCAGACAGCTGCAGCTGATCTAGATGCTGCTGCTGCATCCTCACTAGAACTATAGAAAGTAGATCAGACAGCTGTAGCTGATCCAGATGCTGCTGCCTGCATCCTCACTAGAACTATAGAAAGTAGATCAGACAGCTGTAGCTGATCCAGATGCTGCTGCCTGCATCCTCACTAGAACTATAGAAAGTAGATCAGACAGCTGTAGCTGATCCAGATGCTGCTGCCTGCGTCCTCACTAGAACTATTGAAAGTAGATCAGACAGCTGCAGCTGATCCAGATGCTGCTGCCTGCATCCTCACTAGAACTATAGAAAGTAGATCAGACAGCTGTAGCTGATCCAGATGCTGCTGCCTGCATCCTCACTAGAACTATAGAAAGTAGATCAGACAGCTGTAGCTGATCCAGATGCTGCTGCCTGCGTCCTCACTAGAACTATTGAAAGTAGATCAGACAGCTGCAGCTGATCCAGATGCTGCTGCCTGCATCCTCACTAGAACTATAGAAAGTAGATCAGACAGCTGTAGCTGATCCAGATGCTGCTGCCTGCGTCCTCACTAGAACTATTGAAAGTAGATCAGACAGCTGTAGCTGATCCAGATGCTGCTGCCTGCATCCTCACTAGAACTATAGAAAGTAGATCAGACAGCTGTAGCTGATCCAGATGCTGTTGCCTGCATCCTCACTAGAACTATAGAAAGAAGATCAGACAGCTGTAGCTGATCCAGGTGCTGCTGCCTGTGTCCTCACTAGAACTATAAAAAGTAGATCCGAGCTGCAGCTGATCCAGATGCTGCTGCCTGCATCCTCACTAGAACTATAGAAAGTAGATTAGACAGCTGCAACTGGGCCAGATTCTGCTGTCTGCTTTCTCACTAGAACTATAGAAAGTAGATCAGCCAGCTGCAGCTGATCCAGATGTTGCTTCGATTGGCTTGGACTCAATTGGCTTTGTTCAAAATGTGAATAGTCCCACACATTCTCATCTTCATACTTTGGATCTTGTGCTGACATATGGCATAGAATGTGGAGAAATAACAGTATTTCCTCACAACCCTGTCCACTCTGATCCCTTTTTAATAACCTTCATGATTACTTCAACAGAGTTCTCCCTCAAAAGAAGGTTTCACTTTAGCAGATAATCATCAGATAATGCAGTTATAAATTTTAAAGAATCTGTGCCAATTTTCTAGTCTGGAAAAATTGTTTACTGCTGTATAAGAGGAAACTTTTTAAAACAAGGGCAGCATATTTCTACTCATTCATAGTTTTATTTGACCATATAATTTGTTTTAAGAAAGAGGCAAATATTTAATGTTATGTTAACCTGCTCCACAATGTTACAGTCGGGGCGTCCCTGTGTTGCCATAGCAATGACAGCTTTCCTTTTCCATTGGAGGGATGAGCCCGTCACATCCAGTTATCTGAGATGATACGATGTGAATTGGTGTCATAGAAATAAACTGAATTGAATTGAAATAAACTGCCTTACCATAGTGGCCTAAACAAACCCATACCATGTGTGGAAGAAAATCCACTGCCTGCATTATACTGCACTACAGAACTGTTCCATGTCTACTCATCCAAATCACAGTATTCACTAATCTTCTTATCAATGGTGTGAAAAAGGGCATCGGAAATTTGAGGGTTAATCCACTGAGTTAAACTGGAATCACTGGTACAAGTTAGCACAACACGGTTTGGATAGAGCTGAATCGGACCTCCCAATCTTCATCTTTCCAAACAGACTAGAAAATTCTGATGGCGGACGACCACAATCATATCTACGTCCGTAGCTCATTATAAACGAATCAAGTTAAAGGCAGCTGCACCTGTGCTGCCTGTGTCCAACAGGCCCTGACCTTTGGTCTGCACCTCCAGCTCCTCCACCTTCCTCTTCAGGTCAGAGTTCTGCTCTGTGAGCACATCCCTCCTCAGCTCGTCTAGCCGATGGCCAACTGTCACCCGCAGCTCATCTAGGCTCTGCCTCTGCCGCTCTGTCACCACCTCCCCATCTCTTAGCCGACTCTCCACACTCCGAAGTTCTTGTCGTCGTTCCACTTCCTCCCCCTTCAGACTGAGGACCAGCTTCTTGAGGCCCTGCAATTCATCCCAGAGGATGCGAAGGTCCCCAATATTCATGGCGGGAAAATCCACGGGAGCAGAGACCTCAGACCGACTACCACTGACAGAGCAGCAGACCATCATCAGGAAAAAGGCAGTAGACCTCATGATGAAGCAAAGACCTGCAGCTTAGCCATTAGCAGCTTTAATACAGTAATCTACAGGGAGAACATTCCAGAGTGGAGAGAGAGGGGTTCACATAATCCCTCTGCTCTGGCCATGGAAACAATAACAAAAAGAGAACATTAAGTCTAAAAAAACATTTTATAATGTTTATAACTGGAATAATAATGTCATGAAGTTTCTCAAGAATGACACAAAGCAAAAACCATCTAGAAAGGAAATCGAAATGTCTTAAATCAAGTGTATGTACCCTTAGTGAGTAAATAAAGAAGATAATATGCACCAGGGCAATGTAATTGCAAAGTGTCTCAATTATCTCCTCAATTCAAGGAAACTAATTTTAAGAAAAAAACTTTTATTTAGATTCTGGACACGTTCTGAAAGCCACCTCCTGTCCTCAGATCATCATCTAACAACACCCTATATGGTGGCGCCTAACAGGTGGTACCATGTTCTTCTGTGCTTCGATTGATATGCTAGAATCAATCCGTTTTATCTGGTTTGGCAAACAAGTTGCTTTCGACTCAGCACATCAGTACCAACCTCTCAAAAAAACTAAACTAATTCTCTTATATAGGCCTCTGGCTTTGGTAGTCTCCTGTCTTTTAACATCCTGTGATGGCCACACATCAAAAGCCAGGACCATGCATGCACCTTCACCTTGATTTATTAATCCGTATACATATACTTTAGCTTGCAATAAAACTTTATTGTTAGTGAAAATTAGTGATGTTATGTGATGAGCCCAGGCTTTGAGGCGTGTGTCAAGTACTGGAGGGGGAGATTCACTCAGGCGCATATAGAGGCTTGCTTCATTAGGGGGAGGAGCTAAAATAGATGACGTCTGAAGCTTCACTACCCCACCATACCCAGGACTGTTTCTCAATTCACTAGAACGCGAGTACGGACTCGCTAGATGATGCTTTTGTTTTGTAGTGTTTGTTGTATTTCTCATTTGAAAAAGTAATGAAATATATTGCAGGTTATATTGATGGAGAAAAAAGCGACTCAAACATTTGACCCACATTGAATTTATTGTGATGGATTTGTATGTTATATTACATGATTTATAGACTTCATAATGACTGTGCAATGTGATGGGCCTATTTTCTTTTCATAATAAGTAAAAGAAATCTACTGATGCTATGAAACAGCCAGTGTTTGTCAAAGTGATGAATTTATCTTTATGTTAAAAGTCTTAAGTCCCCCTGAAAATGAGATCATCATTGTTCGATGCTGTAGTGCACGGATTGTTTACATTGCGACCAATCTAACTAGGGAGTACCAATATGGTGGCCGGTGGCCTTACTTCACCCCCGTACTAGAGATCAGTGATTATCTCAGGCAGAGCTCTCTCTGCTTTTAACCCCTGAAATCCTTCCCTGTGAGTCGCTCCATCCACACAGAGGTGTGTTGCTGGCTGCGCCCCCTGCAGGCCTGATCTGGGACCACATAGCTCTACACTTTCACAGCCATCCAGGAAAATTCTTTTATTGAGGCCAAAAACGGATGGTTTTAGGTTCTGAACGAGTCCCTCAGAGTCCGACCTGTGCATCTGACACATGATGGAGACAATACTGACAGATAGATCCAAAACAACCAGAACCTGAGCATTTCCACGTAGCACTCAGAACTCCCCCGATCCGAGTCCAAGTCCCAGTCCCCATACAGCAGTCGGGTTACGATACAACAGGAGGTTAAAAACAATCCAGCTTCATCCAGAGCTTCCCAGACTGGGATCAGCGCTGGCCTGTGTAAGCTCGGAACCAGGAGGTGACCGAAGCAGCCGCAGATGAAATCATCCCTCCGGGGTTCCCTGACGGCTGGGAAACCTGCAGAGCACTCTGGGAAAGATCCATGGACTGCAGAGGGAGAAAGGAGAGAGAGGTCATGGTCCACAGGGGCCCAAAGTTACAGACAGAATATTTCCCCTAGGCAGAGTTTCAGGCCGGTTCGGTTCTAAAGTCTGAATCTTTACTGGACTTGGTTCCATTCTAAGGAATAGACTTTTTCCTCCAAAGGTAACTAAAAAGTTGTTCACCCAGATTTATGGCAAAAAGAGGCCCAGCAGAACCTGGACCGGTACCAGAACCTATGATTCCTAAAAAAAAATCCCAACAGAACAGGAAGCACAAGCTGGTTCTGGTCAGACTGGACCTCACCTAGTTAACAAACCAGCCCAGCTCACAGTGAACACATGACTTTTATTCTGAAGGGTCAGCTGAGCTCCACTACATCCAGCTCAGTGTGAGTTTTCCCTATCCTTCGTTCTATGTGTTAGAATGGCCTAGTCAAATGCCACAGACAGACTGTGACAGGGTTTGATAGGACAGGTCCACAGCAGGTTTCACTGAGGACATGTTCTGGGCCTCTGTGGTCCGTCAGACGTCTGGGATAAAAACCAGGACAGAAAGTCGGACCCAGAGAGGAGGCAGATCTGCCATCAGCTGAAACTAGTTGGTGATTTCAGGAGAGATCAGACCCACATGAGAGCCTTAGAACTCATCTTTTTCCTCCAATGGTTCCGGTTCCTATCTGGACCTTCCTGGTTTTCCAGTGATATCCACTTATGTAAGATTCCTAACAACAGCAGGCATCCTCACCTGAGAGGGGATGTCACAGAACCGCGGACTGGGTACCGTCTCCCAGTCCGTCCCAAGGTCCGTCTCCTCATCCGACACTGCTTCATCACCGCTCTCCTCAGTCGGACCGGAAGCTTCAGGCTCAACAAACTCCATGGACTCCTCCAGGTCAGAGCTCACTTCAAACGGACCGGTCCTGCACCAAAACACAAGAAACTACGTGATTCGCTCATGTTGTACCCAGAACCAATGGGGGCTCCAGTCAGTCCCCCCATTGGTCGATCCAATCAGTCCCCCATTGGTCGATCCAATCAGTCCCCCCATTGGTCGGTCCAGTCAGTCCCCCCCATTGGTCGGTCCAATCAGTCCCCCATTGGTCGGTCCAGTCAGTCCCCCCATTGGTCGGTCCAATCAGTCTCCCCATTGGTCGGTCCAATCAGTCCCCCCCATTGGTAGATCCAATCAGTCCCCCCATTGGTCGGTCCAATCAGTCCCCCCATTGGTCGGTCCAATCAGTCCCCCCATTGGTCGGTCCAATCAGTCCCCCCATTGGTCGGTCCAGTCAGTCCCCCATTGGTCGGTCCAGTCAGTCCCCCCATTGGTCGGTCCAATCAGCCCCCCCATTGGTCGGTCCAATCAGTCCCCCCATTGGTCGGTCCAATCAGTCCCCCCATTGGTCGGTTCAATCAGTCCCCCCATTGGTCGGTCCAGTCAGCCCCCCATTGGTCGGTCCAATCAGCCCCCCCATTGGTCGGTCCAGTCAGTCCCCCCATTGGTCGATCCAATCAGTCCCCCCATTGGTCGGTCCAGTCAGTCCCCCCATTGGTCGGTCCAATCAGTCCCCCCATTGGTCGGTCCAGTCAGTCCCCCATTGGTCGGTCCAATCAGTCCCCCCATTGGTCGGTCCAGTCAGTCCCCCCATTGGTCGGTCCAATCAGTCCCCCCATTGGTCGGTCCAGTCAGTCCACCCATTGGTCGGTCCAATCAGCCCACCCATTGGTCGGTCCAATCAGTCTCCCCATTGGTCGGTCCAGTCAGTCCCCCCATTGGTCGGTCCAATCAGCCCCCCCATTGGTCGGTCCAATCAGTCTCCCATTGCCTGGTCCAGTCAGTCCACCCCCCCATTTGTATCACATTTGTGGAACAGAACACGTGTTTCTTTTCTGTAAATAACGGCCAGGCAATTTCAAACGCTAAAAGGCACCACTCACCTGCCCAGGTTGTCGTTGTCAGGGGCAACCAGGAACATGATATTCCTGAGAGTGTGATGAGGGTGGAGCTTTTCACTGTCGACATGCTAGACACAAAAGAAGACATTAAGATCTGGCATTAAATGTAAACCGATCTTTGAAGCAGTTAGACGCAGAGGAAGGAATAAACTAAAAGAAGCTCTCAGTGTTTATGTTCTCCTTCATCTTGGTGTAGAACCTTTAAAGGCCCCTCCCTCGTTTAGGGGGAAGGGAAATCCCTGCAGTGAGAGCAGCTCTGTGATCATGAACCCGTCTGACCTGTGAGAAGCAGAGGTGGAGGATGTTGGTGTTGAGCTTGTTCAGAGATCTGGTGAAGCGATACCGGTTGAGATTCTCTCCACAGAACTCACTAAAGGAACCACAGAAGAAGCATCAGTACCCTCCCCCAGCTTTAAGGGCGGCCATGACACACCCTCCTACCTGTTGCAGAGCTTCTTGGGCAGGTTGACGTCCAGGATATGGGACAGAATGGTGACAAGCTGCGTGGCGTAGCAAAGCGCCGCACTGATGGTGTGGGCCGGGTTGATATGGTCCAGCTCTGCAACAGGTGGGAAAGGTTCACTTTAATCCAGAACCATGAGTGGGTCTGGACTGAGACAAAAACTTAAACAAAAACTAAAACAAAAACTAAACACCGGAAGAAGTCTGTTTTTTTAAGTGACTGATTGAAAGCTGGGACTGTAAAAACTAACTCTGAGGGCAGGATTCGGTCCAGAGGACGTAATGAATTGGGTGCAGCGTTAATTTCGTCAACCAGGACGATGACAAAAATATTTCGTCAACGCCCCTTTTTCCCGTAAAGATGACGAGACGATGACGCACAAAAATTGTTTTCAGAAAATCAAAATATGATGAAAATAAAAAAGACTAAGACCAGACGAAATTTACAAGCCATGGACGAATGGACATTAAACATTTTATTGTTTATAATTAATTTGTTATTTGTAATAATATACAAGTTAATATAAGTGTTTGTTGAACTAGAAGATTAGGCGATGTTGCCCTGTTTGCCCCGGCACAGCGCCTGTCCCACAGTGCCTCACACTGCTCAATCAATAATAGAAAATGGCTACTAAAATCGCTGGTAGTAGTAAATTGTAGCAATTCCAATTCGCAGTCATGGTGTTGATGAAAACAACACCTGGATGGAGCAATTATTTTTTTTTTCATCTAAAAATGGAAAAAGGTGGAACTGGTTCCATAGGCATCTATACCTGGACCTGGGCTAGTGCTCTTCTCCTCCACCCAGCCGTAGTAGGCGGAGCAGTCCCCGTTGCTCGGCAACGCTACAGGCGCCCCGGTGATGCTGATGCTGGTCTCTCCGTTCTGGTCGTCCCAGATCCAGCGTCCAGACAGGTAGGTGGTTCTGCGGGCCTCCGCCAGCTCTGTCACCGTGCTGGAGGTCAGGGCGGCGTCACACTCTGCCATGACATCAGCCGGGTCTCTGGGAAAAAAACAGGAGTTTGTTCCAGATCAACTTGTTTCCAGAATGGAATAATTCTACGAGGAGGATGGAGGTAAGGAACTAAGGATGGAAGTACAGAAGGTAGGAAGGCACAAACTCCGCCCGTTTCTGCTGACCTGCTGCCCTGCTTCTCCTCCTGCATGGGGAAGATGTGCTTGGTGAGTTCCAGGATGTGCTCCCGTCTGAGCGCCGCCAGCTGACCCAGCCGGCTCTGGTGTTCTTTGCTGCGTCTCTCCATCAGCTCCCCCAGGCGCCGGTTGTGTCGCTCGATTTTGTCCCTCTTCTCCTGGTGCCGTCCGGCGCGGCGCTGCAGCCGCTGATCTTCCTCTTGAGAGCGCAGGAGGAGCTCCCGATCTGCAGCAGAGGGACCCGAGTGAGGAGGTGCAGAGCACTGAATCAGAAGTGGAATATTGACCTCAAACACTCACCAGTCTTCACCTCTTTGTTGCCCCAGGCAACCGCCTCCCTCAGCTGCTCGATCTGGATCTTGAACAGCATGATCTTCCATTTCTGAGGGAACAGAGGAGATCTTAGAAGCTCTGTTCATCCAACCAACAGCTGTGGGGTGGAGCTGGTCTTACCAGCAGGTCTTTTACAGACTTTAACTCTGGGTCACAGATCAGAAAATGAACCCCAAAGCACCGTCTGGCTTCTGGAAGCTTCTCTCTAACAGATGGCTTTTTAATAATGCCGAGCCTCCAGAACCAAAGCCATCTTGTCTGAGGATCACTGGATCGACTAAACATCATCTGATACATCTTCTTGTACGCTCAGAACGTTTGAACAAACATGCTGCTTAGAGGGAACATTGGTACCTCCAGCTGCATATTTCCTCTCCCCTGCTCTAACTCAGTGGTTCCCAGCCCTGCTCCTCAGGGACCCTGCCCTCCATGTTTGGATGAGTCTCTCTTCCAACACAACTGATCCCACTGAGAGCTGCTCATCTCCTCTGCTCTCAGCTGCTGCAGAAGCCTGTTGATCATAGATTCCTCTCTGGTGTGATGCATAAAAAAAAAGGCAGTGTCACTGAGCAGCAGGCTGGGAAACGCAGCCTCACTGTCAGACCTTGAACAAATCTGGTTAATCAAGGTCTGCCTGGAAAAGCCTGACTGATGCAGTGAGGCACGTAATGAGCCTACTCTCTACTGTGACGTACGTGGAAGTTGATCTATGGTGGTACCCAGACCTCCACAGGTTTTAGGCCTCTGTCACACCTTGCTGATTTATCCAGCGTTAGCCTGATGTCTCAATCTCTTAAAACGCTGGCGGACGCTGAATTTTCTCCATTCTGGGCGTATTCATAACGAGTCCAGAGCTTCTGTCCAACAACGGCCTAACTTATGCATAACGCACGGCAGCGTTATTTCATAATTTCATTTCATGGGCTCCTGAGGGGAGCAGCGATGATACCGCCCGCTCCAAAAACAAAAAAAACCTCCCAGAATACATAAAGAGAAAAAAGAAAAAGAAAGAAAGAAGGTTTTTGGTGGCAGTAGATTGAGCCTCATGTCTGCTAGGAAGTTTGTTGGTGGTGGGCGTAAACGCAGGGAGGATCCATCACACTCACCTTCTGGCTCACCTTATGATGGGGATGAAGTCTGAAGGAGAACTGACGGTTTCCTCCTGTGAACCCCCTTTATACCAAAACGCTGCCAATACGCCATTATACTGTAGCTGGAAGTTAGAAACACGTTCAGCGCTCGTCTGGAACACGTCAGATACGTTGATATGCGTTGGAGAGAAGTTCTGGATAAGTTATGCAGATAAGCTAGACGCCATGATTGATGAGGAACTGAACGTATGTCAACCATCAGGTAACTGACCTGGAACTGATGGCCCACGGATGGCATACGGCGGGCGTATGGCAGCGATGTACTCGCCATATGTCGACGTGTTTCAGCGTGCAAATAGCTTACACAAAATATACCCATAACTTCTCCAGCTTTTCTGCCAGATTTTTCATTCGTCAGACATACGCTGGTCTAAATCGCCAAGGTGTGTCAGCAGCTTTACAGACAGAGGAGCTCACCATCTCATCGGCCTGCAGCCTCCGGTCCATGGCGTGTAAGACACTGTGAGAACAGATAAACATCTTCATCAAAACATCTTTGTCGATGCTCTAATGTGACAGAAACTAGCAGCAGACATGCTGCTGCTTTTACCTTTGCTGCAGTTTCTCCTTCTCCTCCTTCAGCTTCTTTAGCCTCCCCAACTTCTCAGAGTATCTATGGAGACAAGAACATCATCCATGGAGCTGCTTCAGCGTGGGAACACCTGGAGCTGTTAGCTGGGCTGTGGACCTGGTTTAGCTGCATTGTCTGATTTCATAACCCAAAACAATCTCAGCTCAAAAACTAGTTCACACATTTCAAACAAAGGCTAAAAACTGCAGCCTTCTAGTGTTTGATCAGTTTTCAGTCCCTAAAGTAAAGAGAGCAGCCCTCTGAGCCTGACTTTAGGGGGGGCTCCTCAGGATGGAGGCACACGCCACACCTTTCAGCTTCTTATACTTGTAAACAATGAAGCTAACCATGTCCACATCGCCAGTTTCATTAAGTAAACCTTAAAGCTGATCAACTCTGATAGAAGAACAACAACAGGCAGATATAAATATTCAGATGAGCTGAGCTTTAGGTCGTGTTTTGGTGAAATAACCCAAACATGGAGGCGCTCCTCCTCTGAGCCATGTTACCGCATCACCTTTCACTGTTCCTCCCTTCGAAGAACACGAAGTCTCCGGCCTGAACGCACCGGGCACAGGTGAGCCTGCGGCGGGAGGTGGTGCACAGAGGGCAGCGCTCCACCGCCACCGACAGCCCCTCCGCACCGTCCACCGACTCCACCATCACACTGCCGGGGGTGGAGGCAGCGGGCTGGTGCTGCTGGCGGGGAAGAGGCGGCTTAGCCGCGGCAGCCCGACCGGGACCAAGCAGCGGAAGACCTGCTGGGGACGTCATGAACAGGGACCGCTAGGCTAGGCTAAGCTAACCTAGGCTAAGGTAGAGTAAACAGTCACAGCTACAGAAGTCGGAGCTGTCGCTGGGTCCCTCCTTCTCCCTTCACCTCCACCATCATCCAGCTTCACGGGGTCACAGCCTCCGTGGAGCCCGTCGGACCGTGGGGCAACGAAGTCAAGTTTTTGTTTGGCTTCCTTCTTTTTCGTGAACTTTGTTTTAAAACAATACGATCCGCTGACGCCACCTAGTGGTACGGATAGGAAAAAAAACCGCACCTCTTTCCTTATCAAGAATTTATATGCCCTTTTAAGATTCCTGTAAGCCCAAACAGCTTGCTGTTGTTTTTATTCAACCAGGTGTTATGTTATTTAAAGGTCAGACCTCTCTGATCTCCACCTGATCCAATTGATACTCATGTAGGTGGGCTGTTTTCAACCCAAATCTCCTAAAAATAACACATTCGCGTTTTATTCCAAGCAAACTTAATCTCAGTTCCTTCCATAATTTCACTCTGGTCTGGTCTGAGAAGTATGCTGAAACAAGATGGTCTCTACCCAATAAATATTTACTAATAAAGAAGGTTAAAGAGGTTTCCTTTAAGTTCATTCACCGCCATTTCCCAATAAAGTCATATTTTATTATAAATAAAAAGGACTGCCCACCAACGCTCAGCATCCAGTGACATTACTGGAGAGAAAGAACGTTAGAAAATCCCCACATCCATCCTTATTCCCAGGAAGACTCCTGGCTGAATGAGCTCAGAAGATGCTGCTACTCAATACTGAGCAAAGGGTCTGAATGCTTATGAGCATGTGATATTTCAGTTTTTTTTTTTTTTTATAAATTTGTAAAAAAAAAAAATCATTTGTTTTTCTCTGTGAAGATGGGGTGCCGAGTGAACATTAATGAGAAATTAAATGAACTTTGATTTTAGCAAATGGCTGCAATAAAACAGTGAAAAATATAAAGGTCTGAATACTTTCCATACCCACTGTATATATTCAGTCAAACTGATAAATATTAAACAGCCACTTAATATGTATAAACATTTCTAGGTATATAAAACTTTATTCTTACCTTACCAGCATAATTTAGTTTTTATTTTTCAGAAATTCAGTTTCTGCTGGAAAAAAATTTGGAAAATATATTATTACAGTTCAGCCTAGGAATGTACAAATGGAACAATAGAGAGGGTAGTGCTTTTAATAAATGTAAAAACGGCCTGCCGTAGACGCTTCATATAAATTTACTCATTAACTGAAGCAACAATCTTCATCTTCCATTCCTCTGCAGCTGTAGTGCTGCTTCTCTGTATTTTTTTTTCTTATTTCTGCATAAAGGTTTCTAGTTCCAGTGAGGTGAAATAGTTACTTCCTGTTGCCTGTTGTCATGGTGACCTGTCGAATCGGGAATCCACTGATAATGGCTTTCCATTCATGAACACACGCATGTGTTCAACTCTGAGTGGATGGACTTAGGTTTAAGTTTAATAAAAGCTGCTGTGAGTTAGTTTCATCAACTTTGAGTTTCAAAGTTCGATCAATTCAGAGTTGAGGATTTGAGTTTGAGTTTATTAAACCTGCTTTTTGAAACGGACCCCATACCTGCTGGGAAATACTGCTAATAATACTGCATTCAGCCATCGACAGACTAAAGCGCAACACATTCATAGGTTCACACTCGATGCACAGAACGGGCCTCCGGTGGAAGGGAGCCAAAATAAAACACGTTGAGACATAGAAAATAATTTATTCTCTTCAAGAAAAGTAACTAAACTAAAACAGATGTCCAACACTGATTCAAGGAAGACACAGTGGACCATCAAGATGTCACTGCTTTCTGAAGCCTTTCAGGATGGGATAAATGTTCTCAAAGGCTTCGTAGATCTCTGCTCTTTCCTTTGCTCCTGGAATTCAACAGATAAAAAATTAGAAATCCAGAAGGTTCTGTGACCTCAGATAAAACTAAAGAAGCTTGATGGTGCTTTAAAGCCTTCTGCTGACTTAATTTACTGATCTGCTCTTTGCATCTCAATCAACTTCTTCTGGACATTTGAAAAAAAAAAAGATTTTGAAACTAAAAGCGATAAAGATTCTTTTTTTTTGTTGGCCACCAGCTGCTTTTGATCAAATAAAAGTTGAAGCATCAGTCACCAAATTACCAACGCCATGGTAACCAGATTCACCCCATCCATCTTTCCAAGTGTGGGTCAAGATTTTATAAAAATTGCTGCTTGTAACTCCTCATTAAAGGAGAGAAGTTAACCTTACCTATTGATAAAGCTATTATCTTCTTACAATAAACCATTAAATTAGGAAGCAAAACCTTTAGCTTAACCTAATATTTTCAATAAACCCTTTCCCACTGGGGGAAAAACCCATTTAAACTCAGGAGCAATGGGTTTTTAGTGGTAGTGGGACCAACTCACTGACACGCGTCTACCTGGGTCAAATGACTTGTCAAGTGACCAGCATTAAAATTGCCTTGATTCTCTTCAGCATGCTGTGGGAACACCAGAGCCACTAAAGTACGTGATACTATTGAACCCACCATACGGACGTCAACACACCACGTCAGAGTCGCTTCTGATCTACAGGTGCTGGTCATAAAATTAGAATATCATGAAAAAGTAGATTGATTTCAGTAATTCCATTTAAAAAGTGAAACTTGTATATTATATTCATACATTACATACAAACTCATATATTTCAGATGTTTATTTTGTTTAATTTTGATGATTACAAATGACAACAAATGAAAATCTCAAATTCATCATATCAGAAAATTAGAATATTGTGAAAAGGTTCAAAATTGATGGCCCCTGGTGCCACACTCTAATCAGCTAATTAACTCAAACCACCTGCAAAAGCCTTTAAATGGTCTTTCAGTCTAGTTCTATAGGCTACACAATCATGGGGAAGACTGCTGACTTGACAGTTGTCCAAAAGACGACCATCGACACCTTGCACAAGGAGGGCAAGACACAAAAGGTCATCGCTAAAGAGGCTGGCTGTTCACAGAGCTCAGTGTCCAAGCACATTAATAGAGAGGCGAAGGGAAGGAAAAGATGTGGTCGAAAAAAGTGTACAAGCAAGAGAGATAACCGCACCCTGGAGAGGATTGTGAAACAAAACCCATTCAAAAATGTGGGGGAGATTCACAAAGAGTGGACTGCAGCTGGAGTGAGTGCTTCAAGAACCACCACACACAGACGTATGAAAGACATGGGTTTCTGCTGTCGCATTCCTTGTGTCAAGCCACTCTTGAATCACAGACAGCGTCAGAAGCGTCTTGCCTGGGCTAAAGAGAAACAGGACTGGACTGCTGGTGAGTGGTCCAAAGTCATGTTCTCTGATGAAAGTAAATTTTGTATTTCCTTTGGAAATCAAGGTCCCAGAGTCTGGAGGAAAAGAAGAGAGGCACTTCATCCACGTTGCTTGAAGTCCAGTGTAAAGTTTCCACAGTCAGTGATGGTTTGGGGTGCCATGTCATCTGCTGGTGTTGGTCCATTGTGTTTTCTGAGGTCCAGGGTCAACGCAGCCACATACCAGGAAGTTTTAGAGCACTTCATGCTTCCTGCAGCTGACCAACTTTTTGGAGATGCAGATTTCATTTTCCAACAGGACTTGGCACCTGCACACAGTGCCAAAGCTACCAGTACCTGGTTGAAGGACCATGGTATCCCTGTTCTTAATTGGCCAGCAAACTCTCCTGACCTTAACCCCATAGAAAATCTATGGGGTATTGTGAAGAAGAAGATGCAATACACCAGACCCAACAATTCAGAAGAGCTAAAAGCCACTATTAGAGCAACCTGGGCTATCATAACACCTGAGCAGTGCCACAGACTGATCGACTCCATGCCACGCCGCATTGCTGCAGTAATACAGGCCAAAGGAGGCCCAACTAAATACTGAGTGCTGTACATGCTCATACTTTTCATGTTCATACTTTTCAGTTGGCCAACATTTCTATAAATCCTTTGTTTTTATTGGTCTTCAGTAATATTCTAATTTTCTGATATGATGAATTTGAGATTTTCATTTGTTGTCATTTGTAATCATCAAAATTAAAAATAAACATCTGAAATATATGAGTTTGTATGTAATGTATGAATATAATATACAAGTTTCACTTTTTAAATGGAATTACTGAAATCAATCTACTTTTTCATGATATTCTAATTTTATGACCAGCACCTGTAACCAGCAGAAACAACTCCATTTCCATTGGTTAAACATGGAGCAGCTCTGGTGAGAGGGATTCAGACGGATAGAGAGAAACAAAGCACACCGACTACACCAGGCATCCTCAAACTCGGCCCTCAAGGGCCGCTGTCCTGCAGGTTTTAGAGGATTCCTTGCTCCAGCACAGCTGCTTTTAATTGAAAGCTGATTAACAGGCTTTTGCTCTGCAATCATTGTAATCAGCTGTGCTAAAGCAGGGAAACCTCTAAAACCTGCAGGACAGCGGCCCTCGAGGACCGAGTTTGGGGATGCCTGGACTACACCCTTGGCACCATTACATGCTGCTCTCCATTGTTTACTTTCCTGATTTCTGTTGCACTGGTGACATCATCAACCCAGCATGATGATGTCACCAGAAACAGCAGTGGGGGGGTCAGAGGCAGCGCAGCTGCCAGTGAGGGGTTAGATCAGCTTTTTATGCCAATGGGCAGGAAGCCGTTCAATGCAGTGAGGAATGCTCTGATCTTTATATTGGAGAAACCAAATAACCTCTCCACAGACGCATGGCCCAACACAGAAGAGCGCCCTCCTCTGGACAAGACTCTGCGGTACATCTACACCTTATGGACAGAGAACGTTCTTTGGAGGACCAGAATGCTCACATTTTGGACAAAGAAGACAGGTGGTTTAAGAGGGGCGTGAAAGAAGCCATCTATGTTAAGAAAGAAAAAACAACCTTAAAGGGGAACACTGTTTTTTTTTTGTTTTTTTTTTTACATTGGGCCCTTGATTTTACGTCATTACATCATGTTCTACTCGCCCATATGAGTTTTGTGTCATTTGGGGCTGTTCTGAAGATATTTGGTTTTGTTATATCCAAGTAACATCTTCCTATGGACAAACAACTTGAAGGAACAAACTAAACTGTTCATAATTTATCATTTATGGTACGCCAGCATTCATAACATGTAGGCAAGTCACTATCCCCCAGACATCCGGGGTTATATTTTTTATATTTATATGTTTTAAAAACAAAGCG